CACAAGGACAATTCAATGCATGCTTAATTCCATAGCCAGCTGCTCAGGCCTCGCACTGACCCTTGTACCGATGTGTAACCTTTGAACAAGTGCAAACTCATGTAAATGGTATATTTCCACAGGTGTTCAATTGCCAGGCTTATCACCGGCATTCCAGCTTTTTTCTTATTCCTCAGCCTGAGGTTGTACCGTGTGCTTATGATCTACAAGAAACCAGGGGACTTCCGGTATATTTTGGTACGCGCTACAAGGAGCAATACTGGATTGAACGGTTGCCGAACGGTGACCACTGATTTATCTCGGCAGGGCGCGTTCTTACCGCTAAATCAACGTTGGGTGGGTTCCCAGCATGGTCTCGACTTGAAGACGCTGCCTCGTTCATCATTCAGATTTTTAACCAGCTAAATTCACTGTACCACCCTTTTTTGTGTCGCGCGGAAGGCCTCCGCATCAAATCCACGTAGTGCCGAAGATGCGGCACGCACGGTGCCGGTGGTGGGGTAGCTGCCGCCGGCGGGTGACATAATTGAGGTCTCCTTGGAGGGGTACCTCTTAGGTACCTTTAGCTCCTACAGCGAAAGGTACCTAAGAGGTCCTCCACGTGACCAAAGTGGAGGCTCCTTAGGTGCAATTTTTCAATTCAGCCGCAATGTTTGCAGACTGCAAGAAGTCAGGAGGTCATGCATGACAAACTATGTGTGCCGGGCTCAAAATAGCATATATTAGAATACCCAGGCTAGTCAGCCCGCCAAAAAAAAAAAACCTACGAACTTTCATGCTAAGTAGCCCGGCAGGATTCGAACCTCCTACTCCCCGTGTTGGAGCACATAAGCTCAGAGACGGTTGATCAGCCGTGGTACACGAGGGCTGGGATGTAGTGAAAATGTTTGCAGTAGAAGGTACCGGGGCCTGCGAAAGTCGTTCTCGTGCTTGAGGAAGTAGGCCGTGGCCTATTTGGCTTTCCTTTCCAAAAACTCGTTTCGGATATCTTCCCATGGCCCGGTGATGATTCGAACATCCGTCCCCCGTGTTGTATCTTCGGAACCAAACCATTTGGTCGAGGGGATCAGCCTTGATCTGCGAGAGCATTAACGCAGCGGTGGGTACTGCGTAAGATGTGTTGAGCAGGGGAGATTAGTCTCGAGTTTCTTAGCTCGGGAGGAATGAAAGAAAGTATAACCCACCTAGTTTCACGCCACATCTTTAGACAGCGAGAAGTAAGCAACCACAAAGGATGGGAGCCCGGGCCCGCAAAAATACTCTGGGCAGAGGCTGAAGCCACCCTGCCTGCTAGCGAAAAAGATGACTGCCTGCCGATCAATGCCCTCGGGAGGAATTGAACCTCCTTCTCGCCGTGGCGAAGTGTTCGGTTTCATCTTCTCGGGACGATCAACCTTGATCTGCGGGGGCTTGCATGTGGTGGTGGGTACCCAGGTAGGATGTACTCAGGAGGGAAGATTGGTCCCAGCTTGCAGGCTCTCGGGAGACCTAGACCTGGGTCATTGTTCACCAGGTTCTCGCAACATCTTCAAGCTCGAATGCGTATTGAACTCATTCCCCACGGCTGTAACCACAGTTACCACACAGCGAAAAAGGATACCCGTTCTCGTTGAAAACAATGCCCCGGGAGGAATTGAACCTCCTACTGCTCCCCAATCAGACCGTCGACTCGTTATATCTTGTCGGGACAACCAACCATGGTCCACAAGGGCCTGTCTGGAGTACCATGGTAGAGGGTGTTCAAACGTACTTAGGAGTAAAGCAATTACTTGCGAAGATATTCGTTGTCCTCGACATTATTGAACATGAAGCGGAAGCAGAAGCTAACAATGAAAATATAGTTAGTTTGTCGTTGCCCTGGGAAGATCCTGGCTTCGGCAACGCAATAAGGCTGAACCAATTAGGATGGGAGATAGCGAGGACTTGAGGCGTTATACATATACCCCGGCACCTGCCGGTTATTCCGGAATTGGAGATACGTTGGGGCCAGGCAGAAGAATCCGAACATTAGATAACCAGAGATTCAGGACACTGCCTAACGCAACCAAAGGGAAGTGCTTGGAACCTCGCAGCATTTGCGTTCGGATTGAGAAGCGGAATTAAACCCATGTCACATGACCGCGTTTTCGCACCCGTAAATTCACTGTACGTCACCGGTTACCATTACTCGCTTCACGCTCTGCACCCGCTCGTCTTCTCTTCCTTCCGCACCACCATGTCCTCCAGCGCCATCCCGCTCAAGTTTCCCCGTCTCCTCACCCTCTTCCTTGCATGGGCGTGGTCCCTCATCTCGCTCGCCATTGGCATGTCTTTCCTCTTCATTTCCGTGCTTGTTATGCTGACGGATTGAAATGCAGGCATAAACGCCTTCGTCAAGTCTAACAGAGACAAGAACCGCATAAAGGCGCAGGTCCCGCCGCCCACAGACATCTCCATAAACACAAATGGTTCGTTTCCAAGTTCCCCCGCTTCTGCCACCTCTCGCTGAGCCCGTCGCAGATGTGTTCGCCGCGGGCGTCGTCGTCACCGTCATCTCCGCGCTCATCCTCGTCCTCACCACCCTCTACCTCGCCTTCCTCCTCCTCGACCACCGCCGCGGGCGCACCACCTCCCCCTCATCCACCTCCCCATTCTCCACACGCCCCAGCATCTCCACCCGCACGCTCACCGTTCAATACGCCACGCTCGGGTTCCTCGCCGTGTGGCTCTTCGCGACGCAGGTCGCTGTGTCCGTATTCGTGGCGCAGCGATCCGCGCGCGTGAGTGCCTCGATCAATGGGGTGCCGCTGCCTGGGAACGTGGTCAAGACGGTGGAGAGGGCGTTGAATGCGAAGACGAGGTATCGCGATTTTGGGTACCGTGCGTGCTTTCTCCGTTTCTTCTTCTTCTTCTCCGAATTTATTGTCAATGTTTCATTGGTTGTAGTGAAGCTTCTCGCAATCCTCCCATGGTTCACCTTCCTCTTCACCCTTGCCGCCGCCATCACCGCCTTCCTTGCCGCCCGCCGCGCGCGTTCTCACGCCGCACCTACCACTACGGACCCCGCGGCGGCGGATAGGCACAAGACGTTGCCTGCGGAGCCAAAGCCCGCTGCGTGAAGTTGACGACTCGATATGCCTTTTCCTTTTTCCTTTTCCTATGCACGCACGCACGCACGCCGTAGTTTTGTAGTACCATTCTATATGTCCTAACGTGTAACACTTGTAATGCGAGTATAATGGTATGAGATTTGCTATACGATGTGGCTGGCGGAGGCTGAGGAGGGCGTAGGCCCGCTCACGATGGACATTCATACCGTTTTGAGGACCGGGCGGACAAGCTTCTTCCTTTCCGTAGCTGGTGCTTCTCCTTGGTGTGCAAATGGATACAGATATGCACCGAGTTGTAGCTTGTACGCCTCTGTGGACTCTGGGAGTCGCCCCATACAAATCGATTGCCGTTGAGCCATGTTGTCGAGAAGGAGACGGAGGGCAAGTTCGATTCCCTCCGGAGGCATGTGTCAGGATGACTAACGTTTTTCTTTGCTCCGCGCATCACCAAGTGTCCGAACCTTGAAAGGCCTCGTGACTTTGCCAAGGCCGATCAAGGCGCTTCCGAGGACTCTTTCCGCCCTCGGATATCCTCCCCAGGATGTTCCAGGGCTTGATTGTTCTTGCAAGGGTCTCTCAAGGGTGCACCGGGGCTTAGAGGTTCTTACAAGTGCCTCTCAAGGGTCTTCCAAGGCTCACCGTCTCCGCCCGGAATCTTGCTGAAATCTATTCATTCACATCGAGTTAACCTACCGCGCTGCCTGTGATGCCAAAACCAACAAGTACGCGACCATATAGTGCTCCTATTATGGGGAACGGGGGACGGTGAGAGACAAACTGTGGTAGTGTAGTTAAGAGGAGAGAGTGCGGCATCTTCACCTACTGTAGATACTTGTAGGTAGGCAACCGTCACGGTAACGGAGGGGTTGGTTGCGTTGCCCAAAACTCCCTCGGTCACGGTAACGGAGACCTTGGTTGCCTTGCCTCAGACCGTGACATGGCAAAATAAATATTTTCCTCACTAAAAATAGCTCCAAAATGGTCCAGAAATTGGCAAAAGCAGCGACAGGCTCTCGATTGTTCATCCATGAGACATAGAACCTTCCATTGGACTGAGAAAATGACCTTTCGGTCAATGGTTGATTTTTTTTCGTTGCCCAATTTTCAACCGTCACGGAGAAAATGCGGCCGGTTGCGTTGCCCAAACCTGTTTGCGATGTCACGGTCGGGAACTCGGTTGCCTACCTACAAGTACTTACAGTATTGCCGAAAATTGAATTGACGGCAAGACTATGTAGTCCAGTAGTAGTATTCAATCCCATATATTTTGACGGTTCTCATGAGGCCGCGCGTTCGATTCTTTTAAGCTGCGTTTATTTAACCCTAAGTTCAGTTGCGTGAGTGAGTTCAACATGAGTTCGAAAAAAAAAATAAGATCAGTCAACATGAAAAGACGACTGTGTTCAATCAACACTAGATGGTGAGGACGGCAAGAGTGCCTTCTTTGTTCTTTGGGGCGGCCGGCTAGCCTTGCAAGGCCCTCAGAAGGGTCATAATACCTTGGAAGGTGCCTGAGGCCTGGACAACCTTGGAAGTCCTAGCGAGTTTCATAATCCCCCTGTAACCCCCTTGGAAGTCCTGTACAGGCCTGGGACGATGTTGTAAGCCCGGGGGCGCCTCTGAAGGGTCTTGTAGGGGCCTTTCAAGGTTGCCGCACTTTTGGTGATGACTCGTTATCCCAACGTTATCCCATCCTTTTTGTGTTCGCGCACCACATCTACATCCGTAGCTAGTCCGTAGCCAGTGCTAATAAAGTAGTCTAGCCTGAATCATGTAGTGTGGACTCCGTATGTACACATAGGCGGACGTCGATGCCCGAGATGCCCGATCCCATTACTGTAAGTAGAACAGCACAGAGGCTGCACAAAATGCACATGAATTCTAGTCAGTCAAATAACAGTGAACAATACAGCCTCTGTGGACTCTGGAAGTCGCCTCAATCAAATTCTTCATCGACTGTGTCGCGATGGTTGAGGAGACGGGGGTTCGATTCCCTCCGGAGGCTTGATATCGTTGTCCAATCGAGATGACTTTTCTTTACTCCCCATCGCGTCCTATGCTAAAGGAGAAAAGTTGAAATCACCGCAACGAGCCTGTTTGAATCAACAATGCGGCTCGGTCGGCGGATGCCCGAGATCATTCAAAGTTGAAATCACCGCAACGAGCCTGTCTGAATCAACAATGCGGATCGGTCGGCGGATGGCCGAGCTACCCGACGTCGACAGATTCAACACGAATCTCGTTGGAGGGGACAGAATTGCGCTGAAAGGAGCACACACAACCCACCCAGTGAACAGGGGAATTAAGCCTCTGTGGACGACGGAAGTCGCCTCGCACATCTGCGGCAGAGTCGTATAAATTGTCGAGGAGTTAGGGGGTTCGAGTCCCTCCGGAGGCGATGGTGACGATTGTAAAGGGTGCGTTTTTTTTCTTGATCCCTCGTGCTCCTTTTGGTTCCCGCTCCATCCTGGTCTAAGGAGCAGTCTAGCTTGAATGAATGCAAGTCCGCGCATGCCCGAGATGCCCGAACCACCACGAATCTCGTCACAGAGGGGCAGAGTTATACCAAACATTACACACACAATGCATCCAGTCTGAGAGGAAATAAAGCCTCTGTGGACTATGGAATTCGCCTCACACAAATCGAACGCTCAATGTGACAATGATGTTGAGGGGGATGGGGGTTCGAATCCCTCCGGAGGCATGGCAGCCAGGATGGAGAACTCTCTTCTTCGCTTCTTCGCTTCTTCTCCCATTCTTTTTGTATTCGCGCGCCACATCCGTATCCAGTCCGTAGCCAGTGCTAATAACGTAGTCTAGCTTGAATCAATCGGATGTGGACATGCCCGAGATGCCCGACCCCAATTCAACATGTCGTCACTCGGGAATGGCACAGAAGGTGCACTCACAATGCATCCAGTCGGGGGAAATGAAGCCTCTGTGGACTCTGGGAGTCGCCTCACACAAATTCGGGTTGCTTCGAAAATGCATCGAGGAGACGGGGGTTCGAGTCCCTCCGGAGGCGTTTGCTCACAGTACTGAACGTGCCCTTTTTTGTCACTCCCTCGTTCTCCTGTATGTTCTCGCCCCTGTCATCCTATCCCAGTCAAAGTAGAAGAGCAGGATTCAGCTTGAATCACTCCCATGTGGAGTCGTACACGGGGCCGCCGAGATGCCCGACACATGATTGAACCAAATCAACACGTCCTGGAATAAGGTACTGTGAAAGCTTCACACGTGTTCCAGTCGGTTTCGGTTTATTCACGCCTCTGTGGACTCCGGGAGTCACCTCACACAAATTGAGCTGGCTCAGCATTAGAATCGTTGAGGAGACGGGGTTCGGGGCAGTTACTGATGCTGTGGGTAGATAGTGCACTATCGATATTACCTAAGAAAATAATCTAGTAGCCCGCTCACGCGGCAGGGCCCACTATCCATTTGATTCTTGTCTGATCCCTATGTAGACTCAAGAAAACAGTTCTGATTGGGGTGAATTTCACCAGCTCGCATGAGAAAAACAGATAGTGCCATCAGTGAACACAGCACATTGTTCGTTTGCCGTTCATTCGTGAGGGTGGTGAATTTCATTCGCAAACTTTGGCGGGTATCCATCTGCAAGTTGGAATATTTCTGGATTGTATTTCAGTGAAGCCTCGGCACCCTCGCCCGACCTTCGGTCGGCTCGAGTGCCTCGCGGGGAGCTGGAAGTCATAACACAAGACATGATTTTCTGCCTGTAATGTTGCGCAGCTGTTGCTATTGCCATGCAGAATTTGTAGGCATTAAAATGTGCGATGGCTCTACAGTGGCTGCCTCGAAAGTCGTACACAGGGGGCAAACACCGACGCACTATGCGTCATGGTGCGGTGAACGCACCCAGCTCCCACCTAACCGCGCACCGTGGACCATTGTTGCATTAGGCCCATGCCGTTGCCTCGTGCCTGCCAAGTGTCAGAGCTGTCGACTCAGCTATGCTGCCGAACTTCAACTCAGACAAAGGGCAAGGTGCGGCGGAGGCTCACTGGGTGATCGGAGGGTGGATAAGGCTCTCACCGGAGCCATTCCCGACAGCTTCTGATGGACATGCACTAAAGGCGTGGCCCCAACGCACTACGGTTTATTACCGCGGAGTCAGGTGCCTTCACCGCACTATGATTCCTGGTGCGTTGGTGATTGCCCCCTGTGGTAGTTCACGCGGAGTCCGTGACCGATAATTGGCGGGCAGCCTGTGGGAGGTACAAGGTTCAAAAAAAACCTTGAATCGACCTTGATCGTTGCTTTCCCCGATTTATATTCACAAACAGAACATTAGTTCTTTTGTGCCTATTGGGACCGAAAATGACCAGAAAACGTGACGTTAGTAGTCATTCCTGCTTACTCATAAGCTGTGCAAGTAGTCCGACCGGCGTCATCTTCTTTCCTCTCTCTACGACGTCCATGTTCAATACATTCGGGATCTTCTTCTCTGGAAACATCCCGCTGAACTAACTAATCTGGATGAGTCGCCTTTAACCAGGGCGTCCGTCTTCGAGCTTCAAAAATCCAACAACGGCGGCATCTTACCAAAGAGAATTGCAAACGTTAATGGTCAATCCTGTATCGGTGCGTTCATTAATCTGCTCTTACGCCTATGTGCAATGTGCACCACAGTATTTAGTCCGGGAACTCAGTCTGCGCACTGTCTTTTTGACGACCAGAAATCGAGCTCGATGGTCTCGCAATACTACTCGCAAATATGAGAAAATTGGCACTCATGCGCCACAAGAGGTTAGGAAGAAGGAGAAAACACTAATAGAATTGGCAAAAGGAAGAGTGACAAAAGCAAAAACCGTTCTTCATTGGTATTTAGAGTCAACACGAGACAGCTTTGACTGGATCGCATTCCGCGGCACACGGTACATACATCGTCATATATTGAACTGTTTCCCAACTGTTTCCCGTGTAATAATACTAACAAATGTCCCTCCATCTCCGCTGTTTGTGACCTGCCGTTCACCGGCCTCTTCTCATCATTTCTTCAATTGTTGGCAATGCATTGTCCTCCTGCAGCGAATAAGGGGTCCAAATGACCCTGTATCACGTGCACTTTGTGTTTTGTGAAAGAGCGGATTTTCTTGAAGGTGGTTCGGGTCTTACCGAAGGATCACGGTAGTTGCCGACAATCACGTGCACTTTGTAAAATTGACCAGAACCGCTTTTTTTTCAGGAGGTACAAAAACCCACTACTAAAGATAGTGGGAATTTCCAAATGCGGCTCGGATTTGATCGAAGCTGTGCTGGGCTTTCTCTCCTGCTCCGTCTGGCTCATCCGCGGCTCTTTTCCACCCACTCTGACGCGAAATCACACTCCAATCGTCTCTAATGTATTCCGCGTGAAGCTGAAGGGCCGCAACACACAAAAACAATTTAAATAGCCAGTTTTCGTCATTTCAACGGTAGGTGCAGCGTGTACTTCATAGCTCTGAGATTTGAGGTGAGAGGTGTTGGTTGACTACATGGAGTGTCTGTATCCCCTTGTTGGCCCGTGAATACAGTCGGACCATGGCATACGAACTACCGGAAAGAAACATTGAAAGGCCGATTCAAGACCGGAATTTAAACGTGAAGAGCAGCATAAATTAGATCTGAATTATAGCGGAATTCCAGAGACTGTTAGCTGTAGACAGAGACAGAGATGGATGGTGTTGAAATTGGAACTCTGTAGGTCAAGTCACTGCTTTTTAATTGCCGTGCAAATTGTGCAAGCATTTCAATTGGCCATCGCAACACATGTGATATATGTGCTCCGTGGGATCTGTAAGACTCGCATCCACTCACCTAGATATGCGGCGCGCATTCATCTCGCTTTAACGAGCGCACCGTTCACGCCGTTTGTTCAAACTCCGAGTTCCAACCATGGTTCCGGCATGTCATTCTTGTGTCATTCTGAATTTCCACAGGTTCGATAAAGCCAACACCACCAAGAAGAAATTGAGTGTATGGCCGTACCGCGCATGCAGCCTTGCCAGGTAGACCCCTACCACCGTTGTCCGCAAAATTGGCAGCAAAACTTGGGTTCACTAGGGGATTTATCATTTGGTAAACATATCGCGCAGTGATTGTCGAAACAAGCAAGAAGGGAGGCATTAATGAAGGCGTATTTCTGTTACTCAAGTCCTCACCACCCGGACGCGGTATATACGCCAAGGGGAACTCAAAGTTGAACCTTTGTTTGTGAAGATTATGCATCGGCTTGAGATCGCCGGTGGATGTGCCGAGCAATTTACCCTTTTGAGCGATGCACTATCTTAATCAGCACGGGACCGGCGGCGGCCATCCGCAAGTACCCGGTCGATTTAATCCAAAATGACAATTCCCACCATTTTCTCGACCTGATCCCGGGTACATCCGTGCGACGAAATATGCGCCGCAGGCCGGAAAAAAATTGCTTAGAGGGTGCAGTCATGTAAACATGAATGGGTGAGGATCTCCACCTGAAATTCAGAGCAGATGGGTGAGTTCTCCCTCTCCTTCCCTTCCTTCTCTCTTCCCTCTTTCCTTTTTGGGATTTTATTTTTTTGCTTACGAAGATACCCACAACACCAGTAACTGGCCGGGGTTCGATCCCCTCCGGAGGCGTGATGCTGGAGTGTTTCAGTTTTTCCTTTGCGCCTCGTCCTCCTTGATCCCACCCATCCCAGCAAGTCCTAATGAAGGAGCAGTCTAGCCTGAATTAATGCATTGTGGACTCCGTACGCACATTGCCGGAGATGCCCGAACAAATCAACACGGCCCTCTTCGCGGGGGTCCGTGTTGCCCTGAAAAGTGCATACACAACGAAGCCAATTGGAGAAGAAATACAGCCTCCGTGGACTCTGGGAGTCGCCTCACACAAATTTATGGTTCCTGGAAAATGCATCGAGGAGCGAGGGAAGTTCGATTCCCTCCGGAGGTGTGTGCTACGCGCATCTTTTTTTTTCGTCTTCATTTATGATGTTGTTTTAGACCGCTCTCCCGGACCAGATG